AAAAAAAAAAAAGAAAGAAGAAAAAGAAAAAAAGATCGTTACATACTTCTAATCTGTCAAGGTATTCTTGATTCAGGTTCTCTCCTAGTTCCTTGGGAATTTCGTTCGGGCCAGGAAGCCAATTGTAATGATCTTTGAAGGTCGAATGTAGATCGGCAAAGTCGATTTTGTACGTTCTTCTAGCCTATAAAAGAATGAGAAAAAAGAAATTGAATATACGCGATTGATCGAAAAAATAGACGAGTCGACTCGAGACGTCGCCTCTCGACGAGAGAACGACGAGAGAACGACGAGAGAACGACGAGAGAACGAGAGAAAAAGAAGAGGAGAGTTATAAAAAAATGGATGGGAGTAACGCAAAGTAACAAAATTTTAACGAAACAAGGTTCTAATTATAATATTTTTTCCCGCGTTAAATGTTATGCTACGTCCCAATATAACCCTATATTCGGGCGTCAAAGGTAGCAATGATCGGCCATTGAAAACGCTAAAATGTCTTTATTTTTCAACGTCTTTAGCGCGAGACGGTTCATTTATATGCAAAAATTTCTCACTGCACCTTCATTATGGGAGCAGTATGGTTCAATAACAGGTTAGCGAGTTTAGTCACCGATTAAAAACGAGGCAACACCGCCTCTCCGTTCGCGATCTCGATAATCCCCCCGGTTCCTGGTACGATGGGAACAGTGGACAGGCCATACTGACGGATGATGAGTAAGCCCTGCCAGGCATAGCCGCGACTATCCCGAACAGCACGCGCCCGCCTCGAGCTACGAATCGCCTCGCTTCGCTTTTTCCCCAATACACCGAGCTGCCACGCATATTCCTGCCTTTTTACGAGAGATTACCAGAGATCCATCGCCAAGAGATCAGCTCGGCCGCCAACCGACCGAATCGCGTTCCAAAGCTCACGGATCTGTCGAGTCTCGAGGCGAAATTCGAGATTCGAGTTTCCAAGATTCGGATATTCCGTGGCGAATCGCGTCGTGAATCACTGGAAACGAGGAGGAGAGTAACGAGGAGAAGGGAGAAGCCCTCTCACGAGTTCGGGACACCGCTTCATCACGAACGAACCATTTCGTTCCGCGAAACTCGAAGCGCTGATATAAAAGGATCTAACGCGATCGCAAGGTCGCAACGGCACGCATATATCCAAACGTTTCCCGCGAAAATTCTCGCCGCTTTACATCGTCATCGTCGGTGTCCCTTCTTCTTCTAGGGATTTTAATCGCGATTCGGCGGAAAGGGAATTGATTTCACGCGATGAGAAAACAGCGATGATACATTTATTCGATCGATTATTGGCTTATCGTAGTTGATCCGCTTCTCGTTTATGTATTACGTTTCGAACGATAAATTATCGAAGTGGCTTTATCATTTTGCCTCCATCTCCGCGATATTTCTATTTCTAGACGTTTCTAACGGAAGTGTTATTAACGTGGGCATCGCTCGATAATTAAAGATCGTCCAAGTTTACTACTTTAAATCGTTCGATCTTAGTCTGTGACATAAGCAGCTAGGTATGTATGTCATTGAACATGTCTTCGACCTCGCATCTTGGACCAGCTGGCCCGCACCAGATAACGTGGCTATCCAAGTCCCTTATCTGGCCCATGGAATGGAAATAATCATCACGCGATATTACTCTCACGACCTGCAGACCGCGATAATACTTTGACAAGCAAACAACTAGAAAAGTATGCGGCAACCTGAGAGCTATGTCGGTAATGATACGTGCTCGTTATAAATCGTTTACTTTCGATATCATCGCAACTGGGAAGAACGAGGGAAGAGGAAAAACTGATCGATGAGTTTTAGACGAATAACAAGGTTTCTTCCCTCGAAAGGAAGACGTTAAGGTGAAACACGTAAATCGAAAGAATGGAAAAGGGAAACCATGTCGAAATTCTCGTTGATATCGTAGCAATCGACTATCAAAAACTAGTGGTTCCGTTGGATCGGTAATCGATCCTTTTCTCTACCCAAATCGTTGCGAAACCCTTCAAGGAGACGCGGAGAGGGATACGGTGGCTTTTCGGAAAAAATAGAGAGACTTTGTATTGGAAACGTTAAACACGATGATTAAAACGAAGCGGTCACGAACCGTTATTATCGCTAATCCGTGTAACATTGATTCCGTCCAGGGAACTCTCGAACGAAGCGTACAAGGGGGGATCGAATGGCCAATTAAATAAATTTTACGATTATTTTACGCGAACCGTTCCCGTAATAAATACGCGTTAAAATGTATCCTTACACACGTTTCTTCCAATCTCGTTTCTCCCATCCGAATTTAAAGCGTGACGAATTCCAACTACTCGAATTCCATCTCGAACACATCGAGTCGGTGCAAAAATACCATTCGATTTCGTCTCGTTTCAGTTTCTCTTAATCGTTGATAAAGAGAAAGGGAAAGAAGGAATCGTGTGTAAAAACGCGCGGTTTTTCGACCGGTTAAAAAGAAAGAAAGAAAGAAAGAAAGAAAGGAAGGAAGGAAGGAAGGAAGGAAGGAAGAAAAAAAAAGCAAAAGGTCGTGTTTTATCGATTTAGAAACGAAGGGGTCGCGAATATTCCGCAGGTCAGGTGAAATGCGTGGGTTTCTCGTATTGTTGCTGGTTCGAAGCCGGTCACGAGAAGGTTTTAGCGAGAGAACGAATAGGAAAAGGGAGAAGAAACGGGGAAGAATGAAAGGAATTGTCGCTAACAACCACTGGCGGCGAGCAAATCTGAGACGCGGGTCTTTTGTGCCTCGTAAAAGTCTCCTCGGCCACACCGAGGCACGAATAATCGTAAAACCGGGCTGAAAACTGACAGGAAGTAGGCTGGCAAGAGTAGGTATGGTCTCTCTGCGGTACTCCCGAGGACCCGTCAAAATCAATTAGCCTCTCGGTCTTTCTTCTAGCGCGGCTTCACCGCTCCACCGCTTATTAGAAGTTATAAAATTTCGGTGCGACGGCCTCGAACCGATCGAACCGCCTCGCTTCCCTGCTGCTCGCGACTCCACGGGACACAAAGGGAGGAATGCGAATCCATTCCATTTCCATTCCCCTCGATCGACCCTCCCCCTTTCCAATTTACCCCAATTTACCCCAAAAAATTTCTTCCCCCGATCGAATAACAGAGAATCGAAGACAGCGTAATTTCCGTCTCGAGAGAACGACCGATTTTTCTCTCCGATCGAGCGGACAAAATTCTGGCAAAAATATATCTTTGTAATTCTTCAACTTTTTCGAAAAAAGTTTTTAGATCGACGAACGCTTCTTTAGCCAAAAACAAAAAAAAAAAAAAAAAAACCAAAAGAAATTATAATTTAAGAGAACAAAAGATTTTCGCGAGGAGAAAAAAATAAGAATATAGGAGATATTCGCGATAAATACGTATTTGAAGAGGAAAAAAGGGAAAAAGAAAACGTGTCAGCGTTGAATGAAAGCGTACGGATCGACATCCAGGCGAAGGAGTAGCAGAAAACTACGTGTCGTAGTGCGTACTGAATGTATCGAGGTGAGTAAATGCACTGGCGGGTTGTATATCCGGTGTGCGCTTTAGTATGCAGGCGGAGTGCCGGTGTGGTGTATAGATGCCCCATCCTTGGCGGGGAGGGGCAGCTTCCGATTCTGATTTATTGGAATCCTCCGCTTCCGATATTTTATCCGATTCCTTCACGTACCGACGCGCGTATACGCGACTCGTAGACGTCGGACTTCCTATCTACGAAGAACAGAATATCGGATTTGTTCACGAGCATCTCGCAAGGACGCGTCAACACCGATCCTCTGCCGATGTTTACCGTGTAAAACGCCAACGCGGCGAAAACGAACGATGCATCCTGTGGCAAACGAGTTTTCGTATCTAATTATCGCGTGTATCGATAAGTAATGGTCGCGGCTGTTTCGAATTCCTCCTCTAGCTGTACCGGGATATAAACACGGAGGATTCGCGGATCGAAATGGTAGTATCGCGAATCGCACGCCACGTGCACGCGGGAGACCGATCTCACTCCCTCTCTCACGAACTTGCCCGCTTCTCGGTATCCGCGGTTAATCTATCTTTTCTCTCTCTCTCTCTCTCTCCACGAAGTGTCGTCGGTGGGGACGATAACGAGTCGGCCGATGACATCACTGGACCACCAGACAGTGCGTCGCCTAGAATCGGTATCGGTAAGAAGCGGGCGTCGTTTTTCTACGAGCGAAGCAAACGTTGGCCGAAAACGGAAAAGGGATACATAACGAATTATAATAATTCTTGCGCTATTCGGCGGAACACGTTTCTTCGTAAATGGCGTAACCCGTTGCCCGATATCGCGAACAACGTTCGTTTTCCCAAGAAGAGGGAGAAAAAGACGGAGTATCGGGGAGAAGAAGAGAGGGAGAGAGAGAGAGAGAGAGAGCGTTAGCGAACGAAACGATATCGGATTATGCGCTGACTTAGTTAGAAAACATCGGTATCGAGTATCGTGGAACGATGATGTAACGATGTGACTTTGGTGGAATGGCCACAGGGCGGAACGAGCCCTGTACGTACGAGGAGGGAGGGAGAGAGAGAGAGAGAAAGAGAGAGACACACAAATACCCTTTATGGTCGCACGCGATGAATGCTAATTTTCTCTCGGTCGTACACACTCGCTTCGCGTAGGCAAATATTGGCTGCATAAGCGTAGAGAATCGAATATTTCGTTTCTTCTCGTAAAGAGATGGCCGTTCGATTCTCCTTCACTCGATATCTGTCTTTTCTTCCTTTTTTTTTTTCTTTTTTCCTTTTTTTGCTTTCGCTTCCGAAAACCGATGATCGGAAGAAAAAAGAAAACCGCATACGCGTAACTGTATGCCGCAATTGTAAATAAAGAAAGCGACGGATGAGTCAGGTTATTATGTATTTTATATATATATATATATATATATACACGTATTTATATATATATACAGAGACCCGGAACGATGTGTCGACACGATGTGTGTGCACGATGCATAACTAGGGGGGCGGACGATCTTAATCTATCCTAAAAAACGAGAGTAAAGTTTCGCGTGTGTAACCGTAGATTCGATCCTGCGGTTTCCACGTCTCTTTTTTCGGATCGTTTCAGAAGAGAAACCTTGAGCAACGAGAGAGGCCGAACC